GCCACATAATCAAGTATTAGATGCACTGTTTCATGCAATTATTATGTGCATAGCAGGGGAAAATAACTGTATTGAATTACCTACAGCTTAGAATATGAAGTAAGTCTATATTCAATCAAATGCATGTATTGGCCTGAAGATTAAAAAATATAAAGTACGAAACAAAGACTTTCTATGTTACATGTGACAGAAACCTAACTCAAACCAACTTAAGCAAAAAGGAGAACTTTTTAGCTTGTGGAATGAAAGGACAAGCTAGAGGAACCTGAAAGGTTAAGTCTTGGGAAAGGCCTCGAACTTTCCTTGGATGGGTCAAATACTCATTCTTGGCCATTCTGTGTGGCCAGGGTATTGGGGTTCTGTCATTGACGCAACCTGGGCCTTGTGTTCACCTCTGTGGTCTGGGGGAAACGTTAGGTGGGATGAGGTGACAGGTATATTTCTAGAACAAGTGGGGAAGGAAGTTTGTTGGACATCCACACACAAACACAACAATCCTACAACACAGAAACAAAACAAAACATATGAAACAATTAAGGCCTGATTAAGCACTAAACAGACCAAAACGTATAGGTATTTGCAGGCAAAAAAAAAGCAGTGCGAGGGAGAACTTTATAGACCAAATGAAATTTCACTTACTGATTCAAATATTTATTGAATGTTGTTCAATATCGAATATGTTAAATATTGAATATTGTTCAATAATATTTATTGAATATTATTCTAGGCCCTGAAACTATAGCAGTGAACAAAATAGTAAAAAACAAACAAACAAACAAAAACCAAAAAAAGTCCCTGCTACTGTGGAGCTTCCATTCTATGGGGAGGGACAGACAATAAACAGGACGAATAAATGAAGTACAGCACAGGGTGCAGTGGCTCATGCCTGTAATCACTATGCTTTTGGGGCCAAGGAGGATTTCTTGAGGCCAGGAGTACAAGACAAGCCTGGGCAGCAAAGCAAGATCCCATTTCTACAAAAAAATTTTAAAAAGTAGCTAAGCATGGTGGTGAACACCTGTAGTCCCAGCTACTTGGGAGGCTGAGGTAGGAGAATTGCTTGAGCCCAGGATTTTGAGGCTGCAGTGAGCTATGATTGCATCACTGCACTCCTGCCTGGGTGACAGAGTGAGAACTCGTTTCTTAAAAAAATAAATACATGGCCGGGTGCGGTGGCTCACGCCTGTAATCCCAGCACTTTGGGAGGCTGAGGTGGGTGGATCACCTGAGGTCGGGAGTTCCAGACCAGCCTGACCAACATGGAGAAACCCTGTCTCTACTAAAAATACAAAAACGAGCCGGGCATGGTGGCGCATGCCTGTAGTCCCAGCTACTCGGGAGCTTGAGGCAGGAGAATCACTTGAACCCAGGAGTGGAGGTTGCGGTGAGCTGAGATCGCACCATTGCACTCCAGCCTGGGCAACAAGAGCAAAACTCCATCTCAAAAAACTAAATAAATAAAAACAAATACTTGAATAAGTGAAGTAAAGTATATCATATTAGATAATGAGAAGTGATAAGAAGAAAATGAAATTTAAGACAGTCTTTGAAGTTCTTTTTTAAGTAATCAGAAAGGAAGAAGGAGAAGCAGAAGGGGAGAGGAGAGCCTAATCTAATGTTTTAAAAAAAGCAAGGACCAGCGAGAAGCATATCATAGTAGGGAACAGGACAGATGCAGGCCTCAGCACTGGGAGGAGTGGGGAATAGGCTGGGGCTGGCTTTCAGGAGGATTTGAAAAGTAGACAGAGGAGTTTGGATTTGATTGGAAAGGAACACGTAGGCTTTAGAGACGCCCAAACAAGGGAGGGGCCAGATGAAAGTGAAGTTGTAGGACGATCATCCTGACAGCAGCAGGCAGAATGGGTTGGAGGGGATGCCAAGGGCCACAAAGAGGTGGGAGGTGGGAGAGCCAGCTGGGGCGAGGGCAGTGGGACTAGACAAAGCGGGACTGAACCTGACCACAGAAGGACTGGCAACGTTTGGCGGTTATGAGAGATAAAGGAGGGACATGCCAGAAAGAGCTGGAACCAGACACAGTGTGCTGCCTCTAACCCTAATAAGCTTTGTGTCATGCAACCTCTTGAGAACTCTAGTGCATTTCAACTGTAAAATAAACAGATGCATAGTTTCTAAGATACATTTAAAAATAATAATTTATCTGACAGAGGCCGGTGTGGTGGCCCAGCCCTGTAATCCAACACTTTGGGAGGCTGAGGCAGGTAGATTCCTTAAGGTCAGGAGTTCGAGACCAGTCTGGCTAATGTGGTAAAACCTGTCTCTACTAAAAATACAAAAATTAGCTGGGTGTGGTGGCAGGCACCTATAATCCCAGCTACTCGGGAGGTTGAGGCAGGAGAATCGCTTGAACTTGGGAGGTGGAGGTTACAGTGAGCTGAGATCGCACCTCTGGACCCCAGCCTGGGAGACAGAGTGAGACCCCGTCTCAAAATAATAATAATATTATTATTATACAAAATACATCAGTCATACTCATTACTATACTAAATTATTATAACATATTATACTAATTATCACATTATACTACTTATACACAGTAATCATCTATGAATATACTAATACATCATTATTGATATACTAATATACTCTTTTATATACATTATCTTTATACTAGCTTTTTTTTTTTATTTATACTATATTTTATCAATATATATTGGTTATAAACTATCAATTATAATAATTATATTATAATATTTCATATAATTTAATTAAACATATTATCAATAAATTTTATTATAATAATATATTATATCATAATTATAACCTCACATGACATTCATATTCATATAAATTAACATTTAGATCAGTAATACAAATGTATTCAATATACCATGTATCGTAATATCAGTCATATCATATCAAATCGAATCATCGTATACCCCATCAATAATGACATATTAATTAATATAATCCCATCCATAACTCATTTACATCAATATCATACCCATATGTTACATCGAATATAATCCATATACGTCTATGTCCTAATTCAATATGATACCTATTAATTAATAATATCAAATATTAATTATACATACACATACATACATATATAACTTTATACATAATATCCACAGTATTAGACTATACATATATAATATATTATAACTTATACTATTACATGTATATCCATTATTACTTTGATTAAATAATAAACTTTACTTATATTCACAGAACATTATTATTATTATGACATAATATACACTCAAATATAATTATCATACATATTATAGCATAATATAACTCAGCATAAATCTAATACTATATGTATTATAATTATATAATATAAATATCATTAACTTATTATTATACATAATAACAGATATAAAATTTGATATTAACATAAATGTTAATACATATTATTATTATAACATTATCTATCCATCATAACATAAATATTAAAACTATATTAAACCATTACTTCATACATAATAATCACCAGCAATATAATATATGATATCCGAATCCAATATATTATACGCATTATTATACACATAATACATAATCATATAATCCAGTAATAAATGTAACTCGGATACATCCTACCTGTCACATACCACACCTTCCCATATAAATAAAAATATACTTATTCAATATCATATAGATCGATTTAGTTTACTGTATAGATCTGATGCATTATTATTATTATTATCTGGCAGGAATAGGAGAGTTGAGCAAGGTAACGAGTTCAAAAAATCATTATTCCTGAACCTTATTTTTTAAATGAGTTTATAATTTTGTGAGTGTATTTGTCACAGTAGCCACTGGAATAGAATTAGCCTACACTTTTAAAGATATTGAGGACATAATCTTCTTGAGTAGGGGATTGTCTTCAAAGTTTACATTTGTTAATTTTTAGAATTTTTTTCATCTTTATTATCTATTGCTGCATAACATATTACCACGAAATTAGCAACTTGAAACAACACAGTTTCTCACAGGCTCACATAGCTGGGCCAATCAGTCACCAGGACTGGGGGCTTATCAGAAGATGAGGGAACCAGGGAAGGATGCACTTTCAGGATCATGTGATTGTTGGTAAGGCTCAGTTTCTTTTGAGCTGTTGGCTGCCCTCAATTACTTGCCATGTGGTTCCCCCCAACATGGCTACTTGTTTCATCAAAGCCAAAAAGACAGTCTACTGGTAAGGCAATAGTCACAGCCTTACATAGTCTAATTACAGAAGTGATATCCAAGTTCCTTTTCTGGATTCTATTCACAGAAGCAAGCCAGTAGGGCAGCCCACCCTCAAGGGAAGGGGACTAGATGAAGGTGTGAACACTGCAGGTGGGGATGGTCAGGGGTTGCCTGGCAAGCCTTACTTGGAAACTGTCCCGCTGTGCTCCTTGTTCTTACCTATCTGCCACAGGCTCGTCTTGGGGCTTGTTACAGCTATGCCAAGGGTGCCCGCAGTCTTGATTAACCTCTCTTTAGTTACCCAGGTTATGTAGGTAAGTGTGTCTTAACAAAACTGATGGATCACCCTGGGACAGTGGCTCACACCTGTTATTCTAGCACTTTGGGAGGCTGAGGAGGGAGGATCGCTTGAGCCCGGGAGGTCGAGGCTGCAGTGAGCTATAATGGCATCACTGCATTCCAGCCTGGGTGACAGCAGAGTGAGACCCTGTCTCAAAAGGCAAAAAGAAACAACAACAACAACAACAAAAACCTAATAGGTTTGAGATTATATTATTGAAGGTGAATATAATGCATAAGTTAGTGCTTGGGGCAGGCCAGCATCAGGGACTCAAAGTCAAGCATCTGTCCAAGAAGAATAAAAAGGAATAATAGAAGGGGCCATGGAACCTTTTGCTGGACTCAGGGCATAGATTTCAAATCATGTATTAGTGTAAATTCTAAATTATGACTCAAAAAAAAAAAAAGAATGAGTTGAGTTGAAAGAACTCAGCTGGACAGTTAGTACACACAAATATTTTTAAAATACAGTTCTTTGTTTGAGAAAAAAACAAGCATATCTGGATAGTCCTTACAAGTTTAAAAAATATTTTTACATATATTGTCTCATATTAATTCTGACAACATCTTGCGAGTTTTATTGAGTATTATTTCTATGCCCATTTCATAGATAAGGAAACTGAGTAACGTAGTGGCTAATAGCATGCCCAAAGACATGTAAGTAGCAAATAGCTGAGACTGACCTGAAGACATAGATGAGTTCTACAACATCATACTTCTTTACTAATAAGACCCCACAAACATACCTTTCTTTTTTTTCTTGGGGTCATAGCAGATCATTTAGGAAACAAGCAGTGCAAGTGAAGACCCTGGGAGCAAGAAGGCTGATGCACGAAGCCCTACCTTGGTAATCTTAGTAACATCAATACCTCCCTTCCACCCCAGAGAGCCAGGCCCCACGCCACAGGCAGTCCTGCACTTTGGAGCGGCTTCCTGGAAAATTTCTGTCTTCTCGTGGTTCCTAAGACCTGCCAGAGTCTGCAGAGCCATTCAGAAAGGGAGACCCAAACTCGGATCAGGAGGCGTATGTGCCCCTTTCTTCCCTTTGGGCATTCTCTGATCCTCTACTTTGCTCTTGAGGTGGGCCAGATGGCATGAGGAGTTTGAGGACTCACATGTATAGCATCAAACTGGAGCCCTGTGGCAGGCAGGGTATTTTATTATGAAATCATCCCCGACTGATCGGGCAGAATGGTACTAACACACTGATTTGGAGTGACTCTCACTCATGTCAGACACAGGAAGAGTTCAGGACACTGAGCTACTGAGGGTCCTTGGACTTGGGCCATATGTGTGGACCTGAGCATTGGCTCTTGCTCATCCATATTTCCACTGTGGAACTGCCTTTGATCCTAAAGGCAATGGAGATGGCAGCAGGCACCCTTAACTCTATGCATTGCTGGTACCTAGGGCAATCCCCACACCCTCCCACATGTTGGGCACTCCTCCAGGGGTGACAGCACTTATCTCATCCAAGAGCTTTCATTGCCCTTGCAAAGTAAAGCCAACAGGTCTTGTTGATAGATGTTTTCTTTTGCCTCCAATTGATGTGGCAACATGCTCTTCTGGGTTGGTATTAGGCTGTGCCAGAGGAAGGACAGACATTACCTTGAGAATGGAACCCTTGTCTCTGCTCATGGCACTTCACTATCCTCCCTGCTGGTGGGCATGGGTAGAAGGCAGGGGTGTAGTCAGCACTGAAGGAGATCTCATTTTATAAATGCAGTGATTATGGTCTTAGAGTTCAAGAAAATCAGGGTTGGAAGATGCATCATTTTATGTGACTGCTGTGAAGTTTCTAATGGTAAATGTAACATGACCAGAAAACAAGTCATCATTCACAACTTCCCACATTTGCGAATACCATCAACAAGGCACAGTAGCTTGGAAGGTGTCATTGTAAGCTGGTATGCACAGATGTCACTGTGGATGATGCAGCATCACAAGTAATAACCTCACTGGAATTAAATAAATGACATTGGAAACAAGCAAGAAGAGTTCTATTGTTTTCATGATTCAGTCTGGCAGAGTCCTGGCATATTGTGAAAAATAGCAGCATACTACCTTTTCTTGCGGGGGAAATGCGAAATTAGCCAGAAATGGGACTCTTGACCATAAAGAACAGGAAGAGATATTTCCTTGACCCGAAGAGGAAGAGACAGTGCCCGGACACTAGTAAGAATTGCCAGGTGTACTGGCTAGGAAACAAACCAGCCCTTCAGTACTTTTCTAACCATTCTTATAAATCTGTATGATTAATCACCCATTTCATATGGCACCATGAATTTTGCAGTACATTTTTAAAAGTCAAATTATTTATAGAGACAGGGACCTGGCAAAAAATGTATGCCCAACTCCTGCATGTCCTAGGGGTAGCCCTGACCCCCACCCAGATTTCAGCATCTGACTCAGTAATGTGACCAACACATGCTCCCCAACTTCCCGATCTCTGTTTTAAAAACATGGTTAAAGTAGGGCCCTTCTAGATCATGATGGAAAAACAATCAGAACTTCGGTTTAGAATCAGAAAAATCAATGAAACCTCTTCCATAGAGGTGTTAGTGGTCACCTTTGGGGAAGAGGGGTAGTTGTAGTACCTGGCAAGGGGGTAAGAGTTTCCAGTCATGTTCACTTCCTGACCTGGAAGTGGTTACGTGGGTATATTCTCTTTGTGGTAACTTTTCAAGTTGTATACTTAATGATCTGTGCACTTCTCTAAGTGCATGTTAGACTTCAATAAAAAGTTTACTACATAAAAATTGAAAAAAACCACCCATCGACATAATTAGCTTCCGGAGCAAAGTTATTTACCAATACAGAGTCCAGTGGTCTGGAGGACCTGGGCTTGCCTACGGACTAATGTGGTGGATTTCAGGATAAGATAAGCTCTTCCCTTTAGCTCCCCCATAACAAGTCACCTTGCAATTGGACTCAGCTCTGTCTCTGGGCATTTCCCCACCCTGCTTTATAAAATAGAAATTCTTGTAGAGGTTGTGTCCAGACAAGTACAATGGAGACTGACACACAGGGCTTGGAGAACTTCCCAGAGGTGCTTTAAGAGTGATTATATAACATGTTAAGTCTGTGTTCCTTTTTGAGGCATAACTGAACCTTTGCCAAAATAACTAATTGCCAGCCCTTTCCCACTGACCCAAATAAAAACATGGTAAATAAATTACAGTTTTGAAGCATACTCTAAAAAACAAACAAACAAAAAACTCCCACAAACCTGATACTCAGAGGACATCCCAGCTTCCTGTGTGGGACGCCACACGCTCACCGAAGGGCATGATACTGAATTATGTCTTTTTAAGTCATACCACCTGTTGCGGGAGCTGCGGGAAGAAAAGAAATGAATGTAGTGAAATAAAAGAAACCAGAACAGCAACAAAAGAACGACTTCCTTTTTGCACATTGATTTTGGCCAGAGGAAGAAAAACAAGTAATTGTAACAAGCTGATGTGTTTCGGGGAAGCCATGAAAGTAGGCACCTGTCCACATGTCCAAAGGCCTAATGAGAAGTAGGCAGTAGACCTACAAGAAATTTAGTACCTTCCTTCCTTTCCTTCCCTTCCTACTCTGCGTATTTCTGTTTTTGTTTTGTTTTGTTTTGTTTTCATAAAACTCTGGATTTATAGGGAAGCTCAGGGTGGGCATGGGGCAGACGCATGGGTTCTGCCAGGTGCTGTTTCTCAGGGAACACGGGAGGCTGTTGGCTGTGGGGACTGGCGGGGCTGGAGCAGGCTCTGTGACGGTCAGAGGCTCTCCCCAACCCCGGCCAGCGACCTCCCTTGGGTACCTTGAAATCAGCCAGGGCGGGAGTATTTACGCCGCGGAGATGGCAGCACGGACACAGCCCTGCTTTGCGGGTGGGAGTGAAGAGAGCCACTCGCTAAACATTAACTAGCACCCCACAGAGCGGGAGTCCAGGCAAAATCCGAAGCGACTGAAAGGGCAGATTGTTAACTCATTCAGTCGCCTCCTCGCCCCACAGCTAACAAATTCTTGGGCGCCAGTCTGGACAGAAAGGGGAGGAGACAATCCTGCTGTGATGATACTTTAAGGATGATACAGGAAAATGACAGAATAGGCACCATGTCATAGGAAGAATACTTGGAAGACCTGGGCTCATTTTATTGAGGCATCCATGCACAAATGCCTATGGAGCATTCAGGCTTTCCAGAAATATTCTTGGAATACTTTCCGTGTGTAAAGTGGGCATTCGATGGTGAGTAAAGTGGCACAAGGTCTACCTTCCTGAGTTTACATTTAGAGGAGGAGAATGGTAAAAACAATAACCAGATATATACTTTTTTGTGTTTTTTTAAATTAATTAATTAATTAATTTTTAAATTATTATTATTTTGAGACGGAGTTTAGCTCTTGTCACCAGGCTGGAGTGCAGTGGCGCAATCTCAGTTCCCTGCAACCTCCACCTCCCAGGTTCAAGCGATTGTCCTGCCTCAGCCTCCCGAATAGCTGGGATTACAGGCATGTACCATCACACCCAGCTAATTTTTTGTATTTTTAGTAGAGAGGGGTTTCGACCGTGTTAGCCAGGGTCTCGAACTCCTGACCTCAGGTGATCTGCCCACCTCGGCCTCCCAAAGTGCTGGGATTACAGGCGTGAGCCACTGCGCCCGGCCAGCATATATACTTTTAAAACAAAAGCTTAAAAATTTGGGGATGGAAATAAACAAGAGAATGATATAGAAAAGGCCGCAAGAGATAGGAAATGCTGTAGGAACACTTAAGAATTGTGGCCAAAAAGACTGTGATATGAACTGAGGCCAAAGCGTCAGTTCACTTGAGGGAGAAACTTTTTGTGTGTAACTCCCAGCCCTGCTACTTGCTGCCATGTGCCTGCCATGATGGGTTGTGTGGATGAACTTAGGTAGCACATGGCATTGGAGACGCCCAGCCACACAGATCTAGGAGATGCCATTCATGTCAGCATCACTGCAAATGCAGCGTGCACCCTGCGCAGGACACCTTGAGGCCCAGGACGACACAAAGAGGATGCTAGATAAACATTAGCTGCAATCAGTGACACTGTGTATGAAACTCCCCATCGTGGTGGGAACTTGTATTGAGAAAAGATGGCCACTTCTCAGGGTCATTGTAGCTGACAGCAAAGGTAGAGGCTTGAACGTGGTGTCCTTGAAGTGTCCATCCAGGATAATTTATAATTCTTTTATTTTATCACTGTTATTACCCATTCTACCATATTCCCTATTTCTAACTGGTTCTCCCTCCTTTCTTTCCTGTTAAAACCTTTTTGCCCTTGAGCAAAGCAAAGGCAAATTCTCACTTGTCTTCCCACTTAGTTCTATGTCAGTCAAGACCTGTTTGTTTCTGCTAGTAAGTTACTTCCTAGGGCTTGTGAGATAACGTGGACTTTGAGTGTGGCTCCTTTGATAGAGCAATAGCACCACCTACTAGAAATGTCGTCTTGTGGAACAAAGAAATACACACACCCCGCTCTTCTGTAATCAGGCTCTGACAGAAGCTTTCAGGTGTGGTGCTTACGAGGTCAGACTCACTCATTCACTTCTCTCTGCTCAGTCACTACACTCCCAGTGAGTATTTCTTGAGCTCCCACTAGGTTCCTAGGTACTAGGGACACAGTAGCACCATCATGACCAAGACAGACAAGGTCTTTACCTTCATGGAGCTTAAATTTTCTAGATGGAGAAGAAAGAGACTAAACAATAAAAAGGCAAAATGATTTCAGATAAGGACCAATGTTTCAACAAACAAAATAAGATGAACAGTTATGGGTCACTGCTTTAGATAGAGTGGGCATAGAAGTTCAAGTTTGAAGAAGCAGCTAGGTCTAGTGCTAGGAGAGAAACAGAATAAGACTGTGATAGTAAAGGTACCAGAGAAATGGGATGAAGCAGATGGGGGAAACAGTTTCAATTCCATGGTGCAAATAAAATGGGTGCACACTCAGAGACGTTTTGAGAACTATTTGGTAAGCTCAGTAAATGGGCATGGTATAGAGCATCCTTGACATAAGTAACTCCATCTTAGAAAAAAAAAAACTTTATCTTGTACTTCATATGGCACTTTCTGCCAACAGGGACAAGATATTTTGCTTAACAAATAATGACTACATCCAACCAGATAAGGACACAAACAAGCACATTCTTCCACTATCAGTCCTCACCAGAGGACTCTGTGGCCATAAAAAGAGTAAGGCTTCAGCAGCTCAACACAACTGACGCAGTCCTGCTATCAGTTGCGATAAGCAACTGGCATCTGTTTTTGTAGGCATCTGCCTACAAAGGCTCTGCCCACATCAAAGACTCTTCCTTGCAAGACTGAGGGACTGCCTAGGCCAAGCCAGGAGAGTCTTTTTGTCTTTGTTGTTCTCCCTGGACTGGTTCATTAATTCTTTTTTCTCTCCCTTTTCTCTTGATATTAAATGTTACTTTGTGAGCTGTGGAATGTTTAACGTGTATATATTGACCATGTATACTATTATGTATGGTTTGCAGTATTGACTGACTTCTGGAGTGGCTTGAGCCTGTGTGCCTGCTATTCTGACTACCGAGTGAATGGGAAGTTCTGAGGAGCACTGCTTTCTTGGGAACTCCATGTAGCTCCTGGTTTTTGTGACTGAAACAGCGTCAGTAAAAGTCTGACCTTGTGGCAAGATACAAATGTATGTGGACCTCGCACAGCTCAGGAGAGGCATAACTCTGAAACATGGGTCAGAATTCCTGTCTTTCTGTTCCAAACTGCTCAACGGTGCTAAGCATATTGTTTTAGACATAATAGGAGCTTAGCAAATGAGTATTTGTGTATTTGCTGGCTTCAGTTGCCTTGAATTAACCCAAGAAGCAGAATAGACTGGGGGAAGAAAGTTATTTGTATAGAGAAGTTCATGAATGGAAAATCTGTAAGGGGCATTCTGCTTACATTCCCCATCTCTCTGCATGCCTCTAACCAAAGACAGACCAGTCCGGACAGCCAAGCTGGACCAGAGAGTAGCCAGGACACATGGAGGGAAATAAGGTAGCCCAAATATATGGACATACTCTCTGAGAGAAACAGGGTATTTGTGATCAGCCATCTGCAGAAAGCACCCAGTTGGAGACTGGAAGCATCAAGTCTAGATGATCCAGATAATAGCCAAGTGTAACCCTGACAAGTAGATTGTGAAATCAGGCCTGGAACCTGGTCTGGAACCCTTCTGCCTTCCTTCCCAATAGGAGTAGTTTTCAAAATGCAGTGAAAGTGGATCTCACTCAGGAACACTATACAGTGCATCTTCAGGAGACAAGTATGTGTGGACCCACCAGGGTAGTTATTATTCTATTTGGCAAGTGTGTGGCTCTAGTGAACACCACTATCCAATGAAATTCTCTTGCTCAGATTTCTTACTCATAAAACAATCTTATGATGATAATTTCTGGCTTCCTATGCAGCTTTCCCATGAAGAGAGTGTACTGATTAGCCACTATGACCGTATGGCCTACCCATGACATGTCTATTCTTACTAGAGAACAATCATCACTTTCTAGTTTATACATCAACCTTGTGTGATGTTTCTTAATGGAAATCAGTTATTTTGAATCTGATCACCTCTGAAGGCACTAATCAAATCAAGTTTTTTTTCCTATCTTTTTTATTTTTACTTTTCGAGACAAGGTTTCACTCTGTCACCCAGACAGGAATGCAGTGGCATGATCATTGCTCACTGCAGCCTCGAACTCCTGGGTTCAAGTTGATCCTCTCACCATAGCTTCCTGAGTTGCTGGGACTACAGGCACACACTACCACGCTGGGATAAATTTTTATTTCATTTTTGTAGAGATGAGGTCTCACTATGTTGCCGAGGCTGGTCTCAAACTCCTGGACTCAAGTGACCTGCTTCCCAAAGTGCTGGGATGAGTACAATCGAGGACCATATCTCAGTATTGTTTCTTTAAAAGACCATTCTGGGGTCAGCTGGCTTTATTCTACAACATTTTCAGTTTGGCTGTTTCTAATTTCACCACCTAAATTTGATTCACTGTAGTAACTGTCTTTTCTCAAGTACAACAGCCAGATGGTCTCTGCATAATGGGGCTTGAGAATAACAATCCAACCTGAGTTCTAGGTATCATCTACTTCAGAATGACAGTGTAAAAGTTTAAACATAATAGAGATTACTTCCATCTCCAAGAAACCTGATTAAACAGTTCTGTTAAATTACTATGACTTCCTTGAGCCTTGAAGGTAGCTAGGATACTTTAGGACAGCAATTCCCGAAGCCTCTTCCAGGGACTACCAGTGTTATGCAACAAATGAACACAAATTATCTGGAAGTTCTTGGTGAGATGAAATTAAACCTAGTTTAGTATTTGCTGTTGTTGTGGTCGGTTGGTTGGTTATTTTTTAAGCACAGGGCTCCTCCCAGGCTTATTTTAACCTTGATTGCTGAGATCAGTTGACTATCCAAAAGTGAGATGTGTTATGAAGCTTGTCTTAGTGTGTGTGTGTTGCTACAAAGGAATACCTGAGGCTGGGTAATTATAATGATAAAGAAAAGAGATTTCTTTGGTTCTCGGTTCTGCAGACTGTACGAGAAACAGGATGCCACCATCTGCATCTGGGGAGGGGCCCAGGAAGTCTCCACTCATGGCAGAAGGGAAAGGGGAGCCCATGTATGCAAAGACCACACGGTGAGACAGCAGAAGCAAGAGAGAGCTGGGGGAGGTCTCAGGCTCTTGTGGGAACTAATGAAGCAAGAACCCACTCATTACCAGAGGAGGCCAAGCCATTCATGAGGGATCTGCCCCCATGACCCAAACGCCTCTCATTAGACCCCATCTCCAAATTGGGGATCAAATTTCAACATAAGCTTCAGAGTGACAA